TCTCATTATAAGTTGTGTCGCTATACTTCATTGTCACGTGCATTTTAGTAGACTAGAAGCCTTCGGGAATGAAGGGAAGTTAGAATCTATTAGGTTCTTGTAGACAATTTTAAATAGTTACTTTGTACGCAGTGCTAGCACAATAAATTATTAGAAAAGGCCATCTTGCCATAGGACTGTTTTCTTGAAAGAGACTTAGAAAAGCATGGATTAATTGATGGCTCCGAAAAGAGTAAGAATCCTACAGAATCTTATCTTATTTGTTGACCTACTAGAAAACGGGTTAACAAACTAGGACACACTAATGAGCACGATAAGCAAACAACTGATGTGTTGTCATGTTTATCGCGCATTGGATTAATATTGATTACAAAAAAAAAAGACAGCTAGCTTACTGGAAGGGAATGTTCCATATAGTACCACAGGTAGAGAATCCCAATCAAAGACCACCTCCACACAACCGTATAGCACAGTGAAAATATGATATCCTTGTTATCTACAGTCACTACACAAAATGCATTAATAACAGAAACACATTTCCAGTACAGCAGTAGGAAGTTCTAATCCTATCATGTTCTTCAAAGAGCACAAACTAAACTTGAATTTTAAGCATTGTTTGGTAAATGAAAACAATTATGCAGTCTAAATTATCTAAATTCATCTATTATATCTAAAAATATGTGGGAGTTAAAAATGAAATAAACAATGGTTAGAGAATTAGTGAAAATATAACAAGAATTCACAATGAATAAAAAGCTTTTCCTAAATATGCTTTTATAGAACTAATTTGTACTTGAATACGATATATAGACACATCATCATTTTTTTGAAACATATATAGACACATCATTATACATCTTATAAATATATATAAAAATCTAAGAAAAAAACTAAAATATATTTTGATGGACATAACAGAGCTTTATGGGTAAATAACATTTCACTTATTATGGTCTGGTCTAGTTATAGTTTAATATGGTTTTTCTACTATTATATATAAAACTATTATTGAGTTTTGTTTTCGTAATTTGATTTGTTTAGCCTTGAAATTCTCCTTCTTCTTGTTTATAAGTTCAAAGAAGTATAAATATCCTAAGAGAAATTGACAGTTCAATGTATATAAAAAAATAATCAAATCACAATATACTGCTAAAAGAAAATCACAGATATTGAGATGCAATCATGTTAAACACAAGAGGTGAAATCATGCTTTGTACTTTAAATAAAAGAAGAGCTGAAAAATAAATGAAGATATGTTCAGTTAATATTCTGTCTGAAGATACCTTATCCTTCATATTTGTTTGCTATTAAAGAATAAAGATATATCTCCAATGATATGATCAGCATCATAATGTAAAGCATTTGAAATGTAAATTAAAGATGGAGTTAAGTTTCTTTTCTTCAAGATGCAGCAAAAATGTTAAGCTCTCAAGAAAATTAAACAAGCAATTGAAAGGCCAGTCTTAAGGTCTAGTTAATTTTTAATAAACTTTCAAATATGTGTGGTAGTCTTAGAACTGAAACATGCTCAGTCGAATCGGGCATGCTATACAAATACATTGAAACTATTCAACAATGTCAAACCATACTCTCAAGTGCCAAGGGAGAAATGAATTTGCTGTCAATATTTCATGATTCTTGTCCTTATTTTATTATGACTTCAATGAAAAGAATTTTCAGGATTAACTTCACCATTGAGGGGGGACATAAATGGCAAAAGGATTCTATAGACAATAATAAGATTATCATTTTCTATTTTATCCTACTAAACACTAGATACCATCATAACTTAATCATGAGGACAGCAAAAATGAATGTGGAGAATGGAAAAAGTTCAGCAGCTCATAAGCAAAAGTATTAAAAGGAAAAAAAAAGTATAGAGGAACGCTTCTACTAGAGACTAGAAAATGGAAGTGTTATATGGAACTAGAATTCTCTTTCTCATGGTTACAACCATTTTATTTAAAAAAAAATACCGTACATGCATTTCCATTGTTCTCTATAAAGGATTCGCAATTCTAAGAAACAAGAAAGTTCCATCAAGTAGGGAAAAATCGTTTTAATTGAGGTTAATCTATTCAAAGGTATGAATAGAATCACATGATTATTTCTCTTTCTTCGAGATGTTATAATTTATGTAAAAGAATGCGCAAAACTGGTGGTGGGGGAAGTTTGGCATTTGTTTGTAGACAAAGCAAAAGGTCTACATACACATTCAACACTCTATTGAACTTAGCATAATAAGCTTATATATCATTGACATGAAAGTAGAGAACATTACAGAAAAATAAATAAAACAAAAAAACTAATAAGAGGATAACTTCCTCATTTTCCATCTTCTCTAATGGTTCAAAAATAAGATTCTGAAATTACTTACTATTCATCAATTCTACTTAGTTCAGATGATAAGCAAGCACGATACTGCAGTAATACAAATGATGGCTATGGTAGCAATAATTGAACCTTGGTCAAAAGCCTTCTTCAAGCTGCCTGCTCGTGAGAAATGCTGGAAAGCCAGATAACCTGCAATCATCAAGGAAGTAATTGCACCTGCTTGTCTTCCCCTGTGAGTGGGTAACAGCATGAACGTAAGAACAAAGCAAAAATAAAGTTTTGTATCTTTTCAAACGGAAAATCCACAAACCTTAATTGCATAAAAAGAGNAAACCCCATCCCCCACCTCCAGCACCCCCAAACCCCCGGGAAGGCAAGTTCTGTGATTACAAGGTCAATATGTTCCAGTAGCTGTTTTGTATGCAATCAAGGATTAGCAAAACAAAATATTCAATAAAAACATAAATGAGCTCGTATCACAAGAAAAAAGTCCCGAAGGAGGTAAACTATTGCTTTTTTTATGACTAGAATTCCATTTTTTATAGGAAAAGAAAACATATGAAGTAAATTCTTGAAAAGTCTAGCATTGTACTTCCTAATACATGCACAACAAGAAAGACAAATAAAATTCAAACATGTACCAGTTATTACCATATTTTTACTACATTTATTATTTTCTACATGATGAACTCCTGGTTAGGTGGTATGTCACACCTAGTATCCCAAACATAATTTAGGATATCTAGCTTAAAAATAGTTGAATCATTATGAACATTGCTTATGAATGAAATGATATAGATATTCTCTACCTTACTTGAATATAATTTCACTAAACCAGAGTGCCTTCATGCAAGGTAGACGAATCCTATATGCCTCATTAATTGTAAATGGTAGTAGAGTTTACTCCAAGGTCTAAAGGAAAAGGCTTGGTTCTTAAGCTAGACTTTGCAAAAGCCTATGATCCTGCTAGCTGGAGTTTCCTTGATGGATTCATGGAGCATAAGGATTTCAGGGTTAGGTGAAGAAGATGTATAAAGGGATGTTTATCTTCTGTTTCCGTTGCGGTATGAAAAACTTCAAGATTGTTTACGGCATCTAAAGGAGTTAGGTAGAGGGATCCCTTATCTCTATTCCTCTTCACTTTGGTAACAGATGTAGGTATTAGAATGTTGAATAGAGCATTGGAGAGAGGTAAGATGAGAGGATTAGGGGTAGAAAAGGATAGGATGAAGGTTTCTCATTTACAATATGCCGATGACTTGATGTTGTTCTTGCAACATGATAATAAGGCGATTAGAAATGCACTCACCCTCATCCAAGTGTTTGGACACACATTAGAGCTGAAAATTAACCTAACTTACAGTGACCTCATCGAGATCAGTGTAGAGGAGGATATAATCGATCAGACAGCAAATCAGATAGGATGTATTAAGTTAAAGTGGGCCATTATATACCTGGGACTTCCATTAGGGCAAATAATACGTCCTTTTGGGACAAAGTGGAACAAAAAGCTAGTAAGAGTCTCAAGAGTTTGAAAGGGGGTCTCTTTTCTATATAGGGAAGGGTCACTTTGATCCAGACTTGTCTCTCTCACATACCTTTTTACTTCATATCATCGTTTATGATTCCTGCAGGGATAACAAATAGGATAGAAAGGTGTATGAGAAGATTCTCACAGGTGTTGAGGGGAGAACAGGGACCATTTAGTAAGTTGGGAAGTATATTGTCAGTCCAAGAGATCAAGGGGGCTGGGCATTCGGAAATCTTAGATTAAAGAATCTATCTGTATTGCCAATGCGGCTTTGGCATTTCTCACATGTTTTAAGTTTCTTCGACTTTTCACTATTTACTTCTTTTGCTTTCATTTTGTTGTTTTATTGGGAAAACAAGCCCTCATCTTATGCAACTTTGTTCCCCCTACTCATACTTTTAAATTAAAAAGAAAGAGAGAAGAACATTTTGAGTTGATCTTTTACAATAATCAATTCTTCTTTAAAAAAAAGAAGAAGAATGTTTTGAGTTGATCTTGCTTAAATCTTAAACTCAATACAAATATTTAAGAAAACCTACCAGGAATAAAGAAGAAAAGACGTACAAGAAGTGCCAAGAATGCAGTCCAAATACCATAATCACCCCTGCAAAGCATACTCATATTTTTACAACGGCATGAACTCATCAAATATGATTGGCCTGCTTGAGTGATAAGATGACATTTCTGAGACTTGCACACACATGTAAAGCCCAATAAAGCAATTACAAGTTGATGGTAGTGTGATGTAATCCAAAAGAGAAAATAACAAAGTCTCCCATAAAGGCTTACTTAATCCATGAGATGATGCTTATTGGTGCTTGTAAAGCAAATAACAGAACAAGAAAAGATTTCTGAACGCCTGTGCCTTTGGCAAGCATTAAAATCCTATACAAAAAAACATATATCAGAAATGCACCTAGACTATACCAGGCAAATTACTAAAGAAACATATCAAACTAATAAAATTATTTTTGCATCCAACATTCCTTATAAGTCTTAAATGCAATTAGCACTTAATATTACCATTTGAATAAAAACTTTACATGAAAATTGAGTTTAACCCCCAAATATAAAGGAAAAATAGAACTCATTTGCAAATCAATATTTTCATTTGGTAGTATTTTAAGGAATGGAATTCACTTCGGAAGTAATTAAAACATCATTAAACAATTACTTTTCTAATTCTATTAAATTTTAATAAATAATTACATAAATTGTTTTTTATGTAAAAGGGAGGTGGAGTTGTGTGTGTAATTACACTCTTATAGTATCTGTGTATAAACTGTGGACCTTAATTTATGGGTTACTGGCATCAATTGGGCATCAATTGGATAATAGCTAGTTCGGTGAGAGAAGACAATTGGTGTAGAAGGATATTAGCAGAGAGAAGAAACATGTTAGTCAGATTCTCTGTTAGCCCCTAACTATCGAACAGTTAATTTTTTTTTATGAAAAAAGTGTCATAATCCATTTATGTTATATTTTTTACTTAACAATCATTTTATATTAATTTATAAGATATCTTTTTAATAAAAAATTTTCATTTCATATTTATCAAATTTGTCCTTTATTTTACTCTCTTCAACATGAGTTAAAATTCTCATTTAAAGAATATTAACTCCAGACAAGGGCTACAACATTTTTTTGTTCCCTTTACATTTTTTTTGTTCGATTTGATCTCTGCCTTGATTTTACAGTAAATTAATTACTGTATTTTCAAAAAATATTCGAATTAGTCTCTCTTAGTCAATGACCACTAATATCGTTAACACCTAATATCACTTGTCAAACCTTGCTATATTACATCTTGTCACTTTTTTGCATTAGATGTCACGTTAAATATCATATGACATCTTAATACGAACAAAAAATTTAAATGTGGACTGATCTGAAATAATCTAATATATGTATATATATAAAAGAACCAATCGGCCTCAACAAGTTCAGGTCTATCCAGAGTTGACGTATTAATGGTAACTAAGAGAGAATGACTAATTCGAATACTGCTTCAACGTACAGGAAGTAATTTTACGTAAAACTGAGGCAGGAACTTTGCCGTCCAAACAAGTATTTGTACCATCCTTCCTCTAGTCTATTCTACCTTTCTCTAAGATGCTTTGAAAATCACACTCTCAAACAAGAGACACGTTTATACAAAATTATGCAGAGTTAGGGAGCTCATACCCAGAGGAAACAATTGAGATCCACTGGAGATTAGAGGCGGTTAAAGGCGCAGCGTAACACACCGTACCTCCACTCCTCTTCTCCTTACACCTCTTCTTAACCATCACCATTTCCTTGTGATTAATCGACACTCTGGAACATATAATAAAAACAACAAGAAGTAAATTGAAACAATTTCTCTGATTTTTTACAAAAAAAGAAATTCAATCCATGGATTCAATATTAGTACCTGAGAGGATTGGAGACGTTTGAGATGGACGAGTCCCCAGTAGTGAGAAAATTGGCCTTGTGATGGAAGCCATTAAGAGATAGATGTGGCTTGTTGTTGGTATTGTTGAAGAGAGAAAGAGTAGGTGCTGATGAGAATGAAAGCGTCGTCATCTTCGTCTTCTCCACTTTCTTTGTCCCCGTTCTCTTAGAGGTTTTCTGGTGTCCCAACAATGGAAAGAGAGAAAGAAATAGCGAGGTACGCCCTCCGCAACACGTGTAAGAAAAAGAAAAAAATATGATTTTTCTGTTTTTTTTTTTCAAAAAAAAGTTACAATAAAAAAATTTTTAAAAAAATTATCTAATTTTTTTTAGAAAATTTATAAAATTGATTTTAATTTTTTTAGGAAAAAAAAAAGTTACAATAAAAAAATAAAAACAATTATCTAAAATTTTTTAGAAAATTTATAAAATTTTGATATAATTTTTAATTTTTTTATAAAATTATAAAAATTATGATAAAAATATTAAAAGGCCTTATTTTTATATACATATTTTATTTTTCAATATAACCAATATTATTCAAAATGCTTCTTAAAAAATTTATTGTATACTCCAATTATTAAAACCAAAATTAATTAAATTTAAAATGAATATTTTAATAAAATAATTTTTTTTTGTCACGTATCTCTCAAAAATTCAAATATCACAAGTTGAAGCACAATGAAATAATATTTTTTAAAATATTTTTCTTAATATTATTTCTCTCGATAGATTATTTTTAGAGAAATATTTTAAGTAATTACTCAAAAAATATTTATTTAGTTAATAAATTTTATATAAAAAAATTAAAAATAATTTAAATATCAAGTTAGTGACCAGAGTAGATAACGTAAAACTGTAATTATACTTATAATCTCTAATACATAATCTCTTTAATTTAAAACTTGCACTTCATTGGATGACATTCTTGAATATTTTTATTTTGTCATAGATATTGAAAATTTGAAAAACATAATTAACCATATCTTAGATTGCTAAAAATATTTGAGTTAATGATAATAATTTTTTACCAAGTTGATACAATATTATTCAAAATAATTATATATATTTTTTGTTAAATTTGATATCTCAAACACAATTTGCATTTCAATCTTAAATCTATAAACTAAATTTTTGTTGTTTTTCATCATATTTAATTTATCGTAATATTAATTTTCTTAACTAAAAACGAATATACACAGAATCGTTTGATTTTCTTTTAAAAATTTTTGCAATGTCAAACTTAAAAAGTAAAATTTAGGCTAGTGTAAATTAATGAAGAAGTACAACAAAGAGGAAAAATTGATAGGAGTTTAAATAATAATTTGTATTATTTTGTATTGGTTAATTTCACATAAGATTATATCAGTAAATTTTTAAATTTTATTAAAAAATATATAAGTAAATAAAATGCATTGCTGCCGCCGCACACAGACACCAAAAAACATCGAAAATACCACTCTGTGACCTGTCCTTGCACAAATCACCGCGTACAAGAACGCTTTGTCTCCTTCCTTGCTCGGAGATCCAGAACAGATCTCGTGGATATCGCGCCGTCATCGCGTGCGCTTGATTGTTTTCTGATTCGTCTTTTTCCTTATAGATCTATGATAGATCTCGTAGGAATCGTGTCGTCACCGCCCATGCTTCTTCTTCTCTATCTGACCGAAATAAAGCTGCTACGCTCATAGAATTGCCGCACAGATCTCACAACTCCCTGCATTACCTTTTGATTCCAAGGGAAGTCGTAGGCGTTGTCACTTCTTATTCTTTTTAGTGGTGGTCAAGTAAGTTAAAAAAATCTAAAGAGAAACCCTAGTTGTCAGGTCCCTCTTTTCTTTTTTATTAGTAGTATTCCATTTTTTTTTTATTCTTTAACCTTGCTCTGATACTAATTATTGAGAAAATAATCTTCAATACGCACACAATTACACAAAATAAAAAAAATATATATAAGATTTAACGTAATTTGACAAAGATGCATACTCCATAAGTAAGACAAATGAGAAATTTTTTATTGAAAAAATAATAGTACATATCCAATAGAGTTGTAGACACTCATAGATAAAGTAATAAGGTCTTTTTCAAAATATTTTTATAATATTTCTCAGAAAATAATGTAAAATATTCATCAGAATCAATTTATATCAATATAAATATCTTACCAACTAGATCTTATAAGAAAGATTAAAGATAGTTTAAATTTCAAGTAGGTTCATTAGGTAGAGAATGTAGAACTATAAATTCTGTGATACATAATCTCTTTAATTTACAAATTAATGACATTCTTGAGTACTTGTATTTTGTCTTAGATATTGAAAGTTTGAAAAATATAGTTCACAATCTTTTAGGTTGCCATATATATTTGTGTTAACAATAATAATTCTTGACTGAACTGATACACAAAATAATATTTGTGTAAACTAGATTCTTGTTGCTTTCTGTAATATTTAATTTATTATAATACTAATTTTCTTAACTTATATGTGTAATTATTCAACTTTCTTTTGAAAAAGTATCAATAAAATCTTATATTTTTTAAAAAAATTATAAGTAAATAAACTACATTATAAATTTTTGGATTGAAAACTTGCCCAATGATAATTTTTTTATTAAAATATAAAATAATTTTTTTTATATTAATTGTGTCTTGATATATCTGTAATATAATATTTTAAAAATATTTTGTTTCTTTAAAAAATTATTAAAATTAAAATCCAATCAGAATAAATGGTAACAGAACCCGACCCGAGATTGCAACCCAAGTGGATTAACGGTAAGTTGAGGGCATAATAGGGAATTCACTTAAAATTTTTGGTATTTAAATTATGTGTTTCTCTGATCGGACGAGGAAAAACTGAGAGGCTCTGTTTATAAGAAGAAGGATGAGAAGCATAAATCCAAATAAGAGATTCACTGTTTGTAAAGTTTTCGTTTTGAAGAGGAAGAAGAGACTCTCTGGGTTTCCTTCCATGTGTTCCTCTGTTTTCTTTCTTGTGTTGTTGGCTTTTCTTTCCTTGCTTATGTGATAAGAAGATGAGAGATTCAGTCTCTATGTTTTCTTTCAGGGTTTCTCTGTTCGGAAGAAATTGTTGAAAGCTTCTATATCAGGTGCAAGAAATATTTGAAGAATGGATGAAACACTAGAGATTCTTGCGGCAGCTAAGAAAGCTGCCGATTCTGCAAACATCAAGGGTATTCTTCTGGGTTCATCCGAGATATCCAGATGCGTTGATTGTCTGAAGCGGCTTGAAACTTGCCCCTTCAACACTGAACTTATCAATACACATAATATCTACAAGAAGCTGCAAAATCTTTGTAAGCATAAGAGTCGAAAGATTTGCTCTGCAGCTTCTCGGCTTATCGATGTGTGGAAGCAGAGGGAAACTGAAATCTCAAAATGTTCAACGCGGTCCAGTACTATTCGCATCAAGTTGCAGCCAACGGCTCCTGTTCAACCTTCTTCTGACAATGTTTCAGCGTTGCCCCCTCCTCAACCTTCATCTCTGAAGATGGAAGAGTCCGCTAATGCTTCGAACAAAGGACTTACCATTAACCTCAAGATGCCATTGCAAAGTAATCCTCAACCCTCCACTCAGAATGTGAAAGATACATCAAGAAACAAAGTGAGAGGCATGCTTGAAGAAGCCTTCTCAAAGGTAGCATCTGAATCCAGAGAAAAGATTGGAGAAAATGTGTGTCTAAGGGATCATGTTGAGGTTGCTGCACTGGTTGAGTCTGAGATGTTTAGCCAGATGGGTCCTTGTGTTGGTAGTCAAAAGAGGAAGTACAGGTCAATTCTGTTCAACCTGAGGGATGCAAAGAATCCAGACTTAAGGAGAAAAGTTCTCTGTGGAGATATCAAGCCTGATGAATTGATCAACATGAAAAGTGAAGAATTGGCAAGCAATCAAGTCAAGTTTGAGATCAGTGAGATAAGAAAGAGGGCTGGACTTAAGGAATAGGCTTTGCTACAACAATTATAATGCTGCATATTGATTTGTTTAGAGCATTGGAAGAAAAAGTAATATTCTGTATTACTTTGTTGGTTAGAAATTTAATGTAATAGTTGTATATTGATATGTTCAGATTTGATGTAAGCGAATATGATTTTTTGAGTCTCTTTCAAAAAGTGAATGACAGGATATTAACATTTAGCTGATTTGGAATTTTTGGTTTTGTGTTTCTTTGCTTCTATTTTCCTTTATGGAGTGTTCTTCTAGGCATCTATCTGCATAGCAACAATTTCTTGAATGAGAAACTTATCTAGGGGATGAACTGAAGGAATCCCCATGGATGGAATCTTGGTTGGTGGTGACTCTTTCTTATATAGTTTTATAGTTGTTTATTATATTTGATATGTTGAATTGGTTTCATACTCATAGGTTTTAAGTTCTTGGGATTTGAGAGCTTACTTCTTATTGTACCTGTTTTTTTTTTTTCTTGGTATGGTTTTAATTGTGAGTTTCTACAACAGCAACAGTGATCTAATTGGCATTTCTGCTGCAATTATACTATGCGTTTGTGCTGCAAATGGGAGTACTAATTTTCTTTTTAGTCTCTCAAATTAGTATATGTTCATTACTTGCATATTTAACTCTTTGATGACATTGAAAAACACTTTCTAAGGTTAGTTTCTCTGCTTCTCTTGGTGTTGCTATTACTACAATTCGATCCGAGTGTTGTAGCTGTGTGCCTGTTTTCGAACTAGCTAGTGTGGTTTTTTTTATAAATACTCAAATCTTTTTTAATACATAAATTTTTTGGGACATTCTAGTTTACATAAACATGATGATCTAATTTGAATTGTTAAAGATTAAATTTTCTTGGATAATTAGAAAGTCATTCTTCTACTCTGAAGAGGTTGTATGCTTGGGAAAGAAAACTCTACACATCTGGGAATCTTACATTAAACGTTGATTAAAAACATAAACATTTAACATATCCGAAAATCTTTACATTGTATATTGGCTGATTGAACTTTTGATTTATGTGATGCAACGAATATCCTCGTTTGTCTTATTTTCCCTTTGTTTGGCTTGACCGTAGAGTTGTTAAGTATGCTGAACATTTTGGCATCATTTGGAAATCAAAGATCAACCTTAGAGTTCTTTTTGGAGCCTCTTCAACATAATATTGTATTTTCTCTCTGTGTTTCGTTCTCGTTATTGAACACCGCTAATGCTTTTGCATATCCGATAAAAATAATTCAACTCCGTAGGATTTAACGTGTATGCACCTGTTTTTTCTATTTGTGCTTGTCTTGGTGCTGTTAAAACCTTATGCATGTGGTTTTTCTGTTAAGTGCTAAAACTTTTTCTAATATGTAAGCTTCTTGAGACATTCTCATTTATATAATCATGATGGTCTAATTTAACATTTCTCGACAAAGCATTAAAATTTTCGTGGTTCATTAGATTAAATTTGTTTAAAACATTTGGAAAGTTTGGATTAGACAGCCAAAACAATTGAGAGAAATAACTAATGTCACTTTATTTGCGGCTGATTTCTTCTTTGGACTGAATGGAGGAGACATTGGCTTTGTTAAAACCTTAATATGTGTTTGGGATGAGCCCATGGCACCAAAATGAAAGAGGATGTGTAGGCCAAATATTTGTCATTGTTGTTTCTTCACGAGCTCGTTAATGTAATTCTAAACTCGAATTTAAAATTATAGATGGATAATTGATTGGTAAATTCGTAAATACATGAAATCATTCAAGTAATGAAATGATAAGTAGAGTATCATCTCACATGAATTGTCTATCAAGTATCAAAATTTTAAAAATTCTACTATTATCTAAACACCGAAACTAGAATTATTAACAAAATTAAATTAAAAAAATTTAATTAAATTGAGAAAAACTATTAACAGAAATGCATTAGAGTAATTGATTTTACCTGAATTTTGGGTACACTCGAGTTTTAATTTTACAATCAATTTAATTTAATTTATAATGGTTGAACTATCATAATATACTTTGGGTTTCTCTCTTGGTATTTTCTAGATCTGTCAATTACTAGTTGCTAATATTTAATAACAGTTATTAATTTAATTCAATTAAATTTGAGATAATTCAATTAATCCACTCGATTATATTATCCTAATTCAACTCTCTATTGATACTTAACAATATAGGTCTCATTAATAAAATTTCACTCCCATTACTTTAAATCATCAATTACAAATAAAGCTGCGGGTTGACCAATTCTCACAATCCAATTAAGTCTAATATTGTTAAATTGCAACAAGAAGAAAGTTAAAAAACGAAACTTAAACATACATTCGATTCATGTTACATCAACTACTTTGGTAAAAGAAATTTAACCAAACATAGTTGATTGAGCAACAACAATTATCATTACGAAAAATTTAATTATATAATAATCTAAAATAAATTTCCAATAAATTTCAAACACTAGCATTCGAGTTTATCAGAAACTCGTGAAAAAATTCTATTCCAAAAAATATGTAATTCAAAATTTAAACATATATGATTTATTACTTTTCTCAGCTCCTTTCGCCATCACTTTGCTTCAAGTTCGCTTTTACTTTCTTCCTAGTCCGCTTCGACTCACTCTTCACTATGCTCTTCTAGTTTTACCTTCCACAAGTTCACTGCATTTCTACTTCTTCTCTAACAACTCGTGACTCTGCTTATGCAAGCTTCTGCGAGTTTCTGTGTCAAGCTCTCACCAGAGCGCTCCATTCTCTCCTGGTTTAGATTAATGTTGGATGGAATGTTGTCTCACAGTTTCTTGGTGTAGTTACTAGGTTCTTTAAATCATTTTTTCTGTGATTCATGGCCTATAAATGGTGTAGATGCAACTCGATAATTTGAATGTGTAATGTCCAAGTTTAAATTTAATGTAAATTAAATTAATTTAAATGTAATTTTTTAATTTTTTTAATTCTAATTTAGAGTAAAAATAAAGTAAATTTGATGGATGATGAAATTGAAAATAATTTTGAGGAAAATGGGGTGAAGTTTTAGGTTCTGAGAGTATTTTTGAAAGAAAAATAAGAAACCAGAGGTTGAAATGTAATTTTAAAAAGTTTTGCTATGTAAGATGCTCGATCAGTAGTCTTGATGAACCAGGACGCGCTGCGTGGCAACAGGCGCTGATGTGATGCCATGAGGGAGGCCACGCGGGCGATCCACGTACCCAAGATCGAACGGCTCATATCCATTCCCGCGCACATGAATGACCCGGATGCATTTCCTCCCCAAACGCGATCGGACGGTCAGATTTAAATGCGATCAGACGATCCAGATTACATCGCGATTAACGGTACAGATTAGATCGCGATGAACGGTCTAGATTCACTCACTTTTTAATCGCGATCGGAAGGTTAAGATCAAACGCGATAGATAATTTAGATTAAAAGGGAACGAGTATAAATAACTCTTTTCACACCAAACCCTAACCCTAGCCGCTAGTCACCCTCATCGGAGAAGAAGACCTAGCCGCTAGGAAGGAGAGCTGCCGCCACCCACCGTAGTAACGGAGCTACTTCTGACTCCCAAAAGAGGTAAAAAAAATTATCTTTTTACTCGAAATTTATTTTTAAACACTCCGATGGTCAAATCGGAGCAAAAGGACCGAAAAATTGACCGAAAGCTGCGGACAAAGCCTGTAACACCCATTAATTTTGTCATTTATTATTATTATTTTTAATTAATTTTTGAATTTATTTTATTTAGTTTATTTTATAATTTTTGAATTTTAATTGATTTATTTAATTTAATTTAATTTAATTTAATAAGAATAAAAATAATAATAATGATAAAATTGGGTAAAAATATTATTTGGATTTAATTGAAATTGATTTTAGGAAAAATGGGTGAAAATTAGGATTTTGGGGGTATTTTTGAAAAGAAAATCGAAAACCGGGGGTCAAAACGCAATTTAAAAAAATTGTGCCCCGTCAGCGCCACGTCAGCAGCCACGTCAGCGGCCCAGTCAGCAGTCCTGGCCAACCAGGACCTGCCGCATGGCAAGACCACGTTGACCCGGGAATGGGCCACGTGGGCGATCTGCGTGCGCCCAAACGGACGGCCCTGATTAAGCGTGCGCACGGACGGCCCAGATTCAATCGCGCACGGACGGCCCAGATTTAATCAAAATAGACAGCTGTGATCAAAAGGCAAAAGGGTATAAATAGAACCCCCACACCTGACCACAAAAACCCTAGCCGCCTGCCCTCGCCGGAGAAGACGAACCAGACACCGGAGGAGCCGGCCGCCGCCACCCGCCGCCGCACCGGAGAGTTTTCCGACCACCGATCGAGAAAAAATTCATATCTCCGGCTCGTTTTTCCATGCTGAGTTCCCCTATGGCCAAATCGGAGCTAAAATCCCGGCCAAATCGCCGGAAACACGGCCGAAACCCAGCAGCGCCGCCGCGCCCTCCTCGATTTTGCCTCCGATGAGGCCCTTCCCGGCCTCGGTTGA